TGACTTATGACATTAATTTCGGTTGTATTTGCGTTTAATTTCGATATTTTGCAATATTTTTTGTTCAATTAATAATTATCTCATTCACAAATGCATGTAATGGCAATTTGACGTAAAATTACCTAACTTGTCGATAGAAAACAAGCATTTTATATTACTTAAGTAACAACCGAGTAACACACTTAAAAGTTAATTGCATGTGAAAAAAACAAAGTCACATGTCATATTTTTATTTATTTAAGCATAATTTACCTGCTTATTATTTAGTTACAAAAATATGAAAAAAAAAAGTATAAAAATATAAAAAGTCGAATTATTGTTTGCTCTGTGTGCAAAAGTTTGGTTATGTTTCCAAAGCAAGATAAGCTGTTTTTTTTTCTAAACTAATATTAATACTAATACACGATAACTTATGCCATGGGTTTGGTATGGGTCTGGTGTGGGTCATATTTATATGATTATGTAAGTTGTTTGGTGGAGAAATATGCGCGCCGACGATTTTTTCTGCATCGTTTTTCATGCGCGCCGGAATAAAATCGGAATTTTCATGTGCGTCGCGTGCGCGTTTGCGTACGAATACGAAATTAATTACCCTAATAAAAATAGTTATTTGTGGTGGGCCCACCTCCCCCTCCCATACCCCGAAAAAACTTTGTTCCACGTTGGCCCGAAACGCACCGCGATGAATATTAAATATTGTATTACGAAATTAGATAAATACGTACACTTTTTTCATAGTACACCAAAAGCAAAGTAAAGTAAAGCAGGAAATAAAAATATAAATACAATGTGTTACAAATAATCAAATGGAAGAAAATTCTAACCTTTAATTTATATTATTACGATTTTACTTAAGATTGAGGTTATTTCGAATGGAATGCGGAATTGGTAAATAGTGTGATGGAATCTCAGCGCAGTGTGCTGTGTTTTGTTTTGTTTGCTGTGTGCTTGGGCATTTTTATTCCGCTCGTTTCGGATAGGTAACATAATAATAGGTAATGTGTTGGCATTGCGTAAGAAACGAGCGCAAGGTTTGCGGCCATCTTGGGAAACTTTGATTGCATAGATTACCTGTTAGTATGAATTGCTACCGTTTTTGCTATTTATTTTTCTTGTATTTTACTTCAAAAGTAGCTTAAAACCAAATAATTTAATAATTTTTTGAAATTTTCACAAAAATATGAATTTTTGCTCAAAATTGTCTTAAAAACCATCAAAAAATTTAATATTACTAGCTTAAAACTAACCTAGAATCATATACATTAATAAATTTTTATAAATATTTGCAAAAACTATGATTTTTTGCTCCAAAAAGTTCAAAAATCATTAAAAAAAATTAAATTTTGGACTAAATTTTACTGAATTTGCATCAAAATAGTTAAAAAAACGAACTTAAAACTTAAAAATAAAAAAAATTAAAAATTTGCAAAAAATCACTTTCCGCTCTAAAATATACCAATAACCATTTAATTTCAAACAAAATTTTATTGAATTTATACCAAAATTTTAACTCCTCTACAATTTTGTACGATTTCTTTTAAGAATAATAACATACCTCCAAAATTCCTTCACATTTTAGCAAAACTCAAGGGACAATTTGCATAAAACCATCAAAATATCTTAAATCTCTGAATATTACTACGTTTCTGCTGTGGTAATACCAGCGTTCTTTTTTGGTCGATGCGCTAATGCAGCGCAGCAGCGCCGCGCATTGCCAAAGGCCGCAGTCCGCAGACTAATAGCACGTCTCTGGAGAGCCTGTCATTACAAAAGAGTTAGGAGTGAAAACGACTTTAAAAGATCATCTCCACGGCGCGTAATGTCTATGCGCCGTGGCGTCTATTAAAACGTATGTTCTGAAAAATGAGAGGCACAAAACTTCAGAAAACCGTACGACGTACGCATCTTTCCAACAAGACAACAAAAAATACTCAGCAAGAGAGGAGAGAAGCGAACAGAGGAGAGAAGAGAGGCCAAATTTCTTTATAATTTCTTTGGGTGCACATCTAGCAACATTTCTTTATGTTATCTTGGCGCAGATGAAGGAATGTTCGATCAAGTTTCTTACAAAACATTTCTTATTGCCGGTGATTAGACATTAGACGAATATTTTTTAATAATTTAATATTTCTAGTTGTGATGTATTTAAATATCGACCAAATAATATTCGTGAGTCGATGAATTCCGGGAAAAACGTTGTAAAGCGTTGTAAAATGATGTTATTTTTTTATATAATACGCTTGCCATTATACATCAAATTATCCTCGGCGTATATTTTATTACGTAGGATATGTTTTGTATACCGCAGCAGGAAATAATTACACGTAATTAATTTTTATATATATGTTATGCTTGGAACGGAATAAAATGAAAAATAAAAATAAAGAAGCGCGCGGTGCATTTATCTGCAAACTACGTACGCAATGAACGGAATAAAATGAAAAAATGAAAAAAAGATGGGCGTCACATGTCAGCGTCAGGAAGTTTAATATTAACTAAAAAATATTTTAGTTTTATTGGTCATTATCCTCAATGTTTCTAACTGTTGAATTGTATTTTGATTATTCTGTTAGAAAAAAAAACATGTTTTGACATTGTATTAATGAATTTAATTTTTAATTTTTTTGCTTGTTACTTAGGGGAAGGTAGCATAATTTGGACCAGCGCCTAAGTTGGACCACCACGATATCCGCGGACTGTTGAAGTTTATGCAAAAATTGTCTGGCCCCTTGTTTTACTCTTATTTATAAACAATTAATGCAACTATTTGGGTTAAAACTTGCCGCGTGCTTTCGTCGTGACAACAACTTCGTGTATCATTGATTATCAAATCTATTATAACGACGTTAGTGCAAGAGCTGCCAAGCCGTTAAAACGTTAGTTTTACCGATTATTATTTTATCATCAGAAAGCTTCTTTATTTATCTATAATTTATAGTATTAATTTTGAGAGGTTATGTTATATTAAGATTGTCGTTGATCATTAAATATAAATTCTTCAAGTTGCCGAAGTTGGACCGAAGACAGGCACCGGGGTTTTAACAGGGAAAACGTATATCATTTTTTCGACCTCCTAGAAAAGCTTGTGGACGAGCACAAATCTTCGAAATGATCCACTGTATGAAATGCCGCACTTTGGTTTATACAAAATGTGCTTGTGTTACTGCTAAAACTAAAATTTACTATTGTGTCAATTGCCGTTAAAAAAGCATGGTCCAATTTAGGAAACCGCGCGGTCCAATTTAGGAAACCGGTTTCTTAATTTGGACCAAAAACACAATTTTTTTAAATTGAAATTTGAGGGGTATAAATATAATTTTTACTTAAACCAAAAAAATCATTTTGTTGGTAAGCCTTGTGAGTTACTTTTCCGCTACTTAATTTTTATTGACAGTTTATATGTGGCTCTATAAATCAAAAAATATAAAAATGGTCCAAATATGGCTACTTTCCCCTATATCAATCATTTAAAAAAAAATTTTTTGTTAAAAAAATTAAGAAAAAATACCGGTTAACCGGTTTTGAGAACATTAATTAACTCAACCGCGTCAAAATATGAATTTATTTGAATTTCTGCATAAAAAAGTTGAATTTCTTTTTTAAAATTAAAGAAAAAATACCGGTTAAATACCGGTTAACCGGTTTTTATGCAAAATACCTATTTCTATTATTAATTATTTTGCTTATTCAGTTAAAAAAACATGTTTTTTACTTGATATTAATGAATTTTTTTTCTCTGTGTGAGTACAGGTAATGTAATAAACAATTAAAGAAATGCAATTAAGAGAAAAATTAGAAAACAATTAATCAAACCGTTTCATGACACAATACGCTCACGATGACAATGATATCTTGATAAACACGATCACGATCACGATGATGATAGTTTTTCTAGAGTTTCTATTACATGATACGACATTATCGCCATTATCAAACTATCACTTGATATTGATGAGGTGGCGCGGGCGGTAATGCACGAATTCAATTACCTTCATCGCCATCGTCATAGTCATTGTAATTAACTTATATATTAACTACTTCTTTCGATGTCAAACAATCAAACAAATTGTTTCCTTGTTGATTTTGTAGTTATACTCACAATGAAATAAGAAGTTAATTGTTAATTAATGACTTATTTATACAAACACACTTTTAGGTTATGTAAGTGGTGTTTTTTTTGCTGTTCTTTTGTAGGTTTTAATTAATTCGAGTTATTTTTTGTTTGACAAATGTTTTTCACTCTTTCATAATAAGATTAAATGTTGTGCAAGTTGTGTAATTCATAATTATCTCGTGTGCATTGTATAATTATCGTTAATTTTCGGTTATTATCTTCGGTTTTTCATCATGGGCGCCTGAGACGTGCCTTTTTAATTTGGCCATGCTTTATTGTTACGTAAGCAGCGGAGATCTAAATTGCTCGACATTAATCAAAGCATCGTTAGCCTGCAACCACATAACGTTCGGCGTTTGTATTAAACATCTAACCTCACATCTCATCACTAAACATTCCAGAATTTATTCTCATAGTAAAACGTTATGTAAAAACCGGTATTTTTTAAAATTACACGAAAAAGATGGAAAAAGACTAAATTAATTGACTATACATGGAAAAACCGGTATTAATATATGTTAAAAACCGGTACATTTTAAAATGACTTAAGAAAACCGGTATTTGCAATATAAAAACCGGTTTTCTAGGTAATAATCTGTAAAAAAGCGGTAAATTTAAAATTTTGTTTCAAAACTATTTTTTTATATTTCCATGCGAAAGAAAACATAATTTCTGACCAAACTTAAAAAATACCGGTATTGTACTACGTTGTTAACTCCAAATACCGGTTAATTTTTAATTTACTTTAAAACTCGTATTTTTACCATTTCTTGGCAAAATAAATGAAATTACTTGACCTAATATACAAAAACCGGTATTATTCTATCCGGTATACCGGTATTTCTTCAATATTACTAATTTTTCACCCAATTTTTCCCTGTTTCAGCCTAAAACCAACGCCAAAAGACGGCGTGACAAAGAGCAACCCAAGCAAGAGGCACCGGGAGCGCCTCAATGCCGAGCTGGACACGCTGGCGAGCCTACTGCCCTTCGAGCAGAACATCCTCTCGAAGTTGGACCGACTGTCGATACTGCGCCTCTCGGTCAGCTACTTGCGCACCAAGAGCTACTTTCAAGGTGAGTGCATGCGTTGATTATCCGCCTGATCGCCGCTCTGTGTGGGCACCCGGGCACCCTTAAATCGGCGGGACGACGACGACGCATCATCCTCTTAATCGCATTTTAATTGTGCGCGCTTTGTACCTGATGCGCCGTCATTCCAGGGGGATAAGTATAAAAATAGCCCGAGATAAAACTATGTTTTCGTATACTCATGAGTACGATGGTAATTTGTGTGGAAATTATTATTCAAGCTGGTATTTTTGTAATTACATATAAAATATATGTTTTTTAGAAAAGAAAGAAAGAAAAAATACCGGTTAACCGGTTTTTAGTGAACTAAGTAACTCAACAGCATGAAAATGTTGATTGATTATTATTTATGCAGGTATTTTTGAAATTGCATAGAAAAAAATGTTTTCGTGTTTAAAATTAATGAAAAAATACCGGTTAACCGGTATAAAGCGACTTAAGTAACTCAATAGCTCAAAAATGTTGATTGATTATTACTTAAGTTAGTATTTTTGCAATTTTTTACGGAAACCTATTTTTTCTTTACAAATATAAGGAAGAAATACCGGTTAACCGGTTTTTAACCGAATTAAGTAGTTCACCAGCGTGAAAACGTTAATTGATTATTATCTCAGCGTTTCGCGTTGTTGGTTTTGTCCAGAAGTGCCAAAAATGATTACCGCCTTGTCCGTCCGTGGGAGATAAATGAGTTTTTCGGCGCTAGCCAACCGCGCGATACCAGCAACACACACACACAACTCCTGTACTCGCACTCGGTTGTTGTGCCACCGAATGTCCGCGTCCGGTGACGGACGGACAGACAGCTGCTTCAGTGCTCTGGTCCACACGTTAATTTCAACTCGCGCGTCAGTGTCAGTTGGTCCCATTAGAACTACCTACACTCCAGTGTACGAAATAAAAAAAAAAATTCATAAAACACTCGTTTTGGTCAGCCGACCTCACCGAATGGTCAGCCATCAGTCGAATTATAATAATATATAGAAAATACGAAAAACAACGACGACGGCGCATGTCAGTCAATGATACACGCTGTAATTAGGTAATTATGGTTTTGCAGAAGGCATATCACATACTCGTAACTCGTACAAACAACATGTGCCTCAAGGCGGATAAAACCACTGCGCATGCGTAATGTAACGACTTCCATATTTGCATATACGCAAAAACTTAAAAAATACCAAAATAAAAGAAGAAGAAGAAATTTTGCAATTATATACAGAAAAATAAAATTATTTTCTTTTTCTTAAAAAAAAAACCGGTTAACCGGTTTTTAGCAAAATAAGCAAAAAAACTCAAAAAAGTAAAAACCATAATTAAATATTATTTAAACTGATATTTTTATAATTCCATAAAAAAATTTTCTTGTTTAAAATTTACAAAAAAATACCGGTTAACCGGTTTTAAGCAAAAAAAACAATTCAACAAACTAAAAACCATAATTAAATATTATTTAAGCTAATATTATTGTAATTCCATACAAAAAAAATTATTTCTTGTATAAAATTAAGCAGTAAATACCGGTTAACCGGTTTTTAACGTGAATTAAGTAGTATAAAAATGAACAAGGTTGACTTGACTTGACTACTGACGTGTAATGGCATTTAATTGCGCATTGTCCAAATTACCGAGCGCATTCGCGCATAATTAACCGTTGAGGTTATGCTGCAGTTGCAGTTGAAGTTAAGTGAGTTGCATAAGGCGATTTGCATACGTTTTTCATAATGAGCGCTGCGCGCCGCGTGTGCGTTTTTATGTTTTAATAACTTCCTCTCTCGCGCGCAAAGAGGGTGCTTGCGCCTCTTGCAAATTAGGTACCGTCGATGATTTTTAATTAATCAAGCTGCGTACGGATAAATGTCTTACTCGGAATGTCATCGAACGACCTTAATGCACTCATACACGCGTCTTCGACGAGTGAAATTAATGTGGATGTCGCGTGATGGACGCCCTCACTTAAGCTCCATAACAAATAACAAATATCAACGTGTAGAGCAACAAAGTGCATTTAACACTTTTTTTTTTGTTTTTTTTTTCTCTCGTTGATTGCACAAACATTTGACACGTGCGTTTTTTTCTGCTGTAAAATTAATTAAATTATACGTATTGTCGAAAAATAAAAGGAAACCACTCCTGAGTGGCTGGAGTGGAGAATAATGTGGTCGCATTTACACGTCATACGCACTATCAAGCTATTAGAATTATAGAATACGCAGGGGGTTATTTGCATTAATTTGTAATTAAGTTAAGTAATTAGAGCCGTTGTGAGAGCGCATTACCTACGTTCGCTGGTTGGGTTTTATTCGCGGCGCGGCGCACAAACGCCGTTATGTTATGCGGCGGTCGTAAATCCGCCGCCGCCGTGCTTGTTTTTTTTCTTTTGCGTTTTCGGCGGTTATCTAGGCGGCTATCTCGCGTATGAAATACGTACGCACAAATGGAATTCGAAAATTGCGAAGGGCATGACCGGCCAGCGGAGGAGATTAGCGGAGATTTATGAAATCGTGTGGAATTAAAGTTAAGCATCAAAAACTAAAGTTAATTAAAGTTTACAATGCACAAATTTTACGTTATGTTAAACCGGGTATAATTTAAAATTAGATAAAAATAAACCGGTATTTATTAATTTGGTTAACTGTAAATACCGGTAAATTTTGAATTTTATTCAAAAAACTGATATTTTTAAGGTTTTTTGAAAAATTAAAGAAATTATACGAGCAAATGTTGAAAAACCGGTATTGGTTGAATTATAAAAACCGGTATTTCCTATAATTATCTGAAAATTTATTATTTTTTTCAAAATAAAACCAAAAAATGCAAATATCCAACTTTGTATAAAATAACCGGTATTTTAAAACCGGTATTTTAAAACCGGTTATTTTTAAATTTACTTCAAAACCGGTATTTCTCACAATTTCATGAAAAAAAAAATTTCCAAGCAAATATTTAAAAACCAATATCAATTCACCTATAAAAACCGGTATTTTTTATTTTTCCCATTTTTCCATGTAAAAAATGATGATATCGTTAAGGTCTTAGAACTTTCTATATAATACTATACCTATGACAAAATAGTATATTCAAATTTGTTTCTTGTGACTGAAATATGCAGATTTTCATTTTCGGGGCCCGAAATCGAAGCGTAAATAAAGCGCGCGCACACCGTAGGTACACACCGAGCGCGACCCGTGCGGCGTTTTGCGGAAATCGTCGCCGCACGAACAATTTCGGCCTCAATTAACTTATTAACTTCACGTGATAGCGCAAAGTTTAACTAATTAATTTCAAAACGAACGCAACCGGCCGCCAGCACGCAACGCCATGTTTTCGACGATTTATGAACCTTGTATGGAGCCAGACCTCTACGAAAACAAAGTGCGGGAAACACTTCAAAAGATGCCACATATTGTTATCAACAATGGAAAATGGAAATAAAAATAATTAGTAATTTTTGAAGAATTACCTACTAACATCTTAATTTAATTAAGGTGTAAGGAGATGGCAGTAAATTATTTAGGGCTAGGGTTGTTTACTCGTACACAATTGATAGAAATGATATTATTCTCTTGCGAAAGGTATATCAAAACGCTATTATTTGTTCGGAGGTGGTGTGTCCGTCCGGGGTGCCAGTGACTAATAAAAGCAGCGCAACCCTAGCGAGCTGGAAACGTCAGCGGGTCTCTGAAGAGATATATGGACATTGAAATAGAGAACTATAATATTTATACTGACCCGAAAGTAAGGGTAAAAGTTTATTTTCAATAATTAAATCGAAAAATATATTTTTTTAAATTTTTTTGTTTGAAAGTTGAATTTTTTTAAATTTTTTCCTAAAATATTTAAAAATATTTATTTGTAAAAATTTCTATAATACCCTGTATATTTTCCTGAACCCAAATATTTATAAAAATTATATATATTTTTTTAATTTTTCAATCTAAAATTAAAATTTAACTTTTTTCTGTAAAATTTTAATTTTCTAAATTTTCCGTAAGGCCCTGTATAATATCCGCTACCACACGGCAGTTTTCGGGCGTGATGGGAATAGAACAGATGGCCGCCGGTGGCGGTGCCGTACCGGACGAAACCTCCCGGACTCGATATTTACCGCATCCAGGTGAAAACGAAATCAACGAGCCGAAACAATGCGGCCGGCGATATATATCTAACAGTGCATTACCCTACGCCGCTGCTGCCAGGTTGGCGAGGCCGAAATTATCATGGCACGGACAGAAATAAGACAGATTATGTGCTCAGTTAGTTAGGGGGTCGGTTAATTCCCGACCTGCCGGCGTAGGTGAGTGCGGAACAGCCGGGGGTCGTGAGCTTACGAGCTTGCCGATCCGCGAAGGGGAGCGAATCGACAACATACATACACACACATATGCGGAATTGCATTTGGGAATGGGCGCAGTGGCGCAGATATTATAGATATTGCCACGAGTGCGCATAGATACTCGGAGCGTGGATGGATATTGTGTTATAACTCACGTTTAAATCATTCCTGTGACAGATACGCACCGTCATGTTTCGCATCATTTGTTTGAATGGGAGAGAATTATCCGCTATTATATACCAATTACGGGAAGTAAAGTTTTATTGAGCATTTTATTGAAAAATAGTTAAAAATTGGTAAAGAAAGTTGTAAAAATTAAATTTTACGCATTTTTTAATGTGAATTTTGGCAATAACTCCGCCATTTTTAATTATTTCTGGCTGAAATTTTTTATAAGTGCAGACTTTTTATATTAGCGTATATGTACTAAATTTCATTTTAATATGTTTATAAATATTGGAGAAATTAATTAAAAAAGATAAAATTTTTGTGTAATTTCAAAATTTGGGCACAAATTTTTCATATTTTTGATCATAACTCAGTCAGTTTTAAACAAATTTGGTTGCAAATTTTTTTCCAAGCGTACAATTTACCCCCACATAAGTTCTCAAAATTGTCCTTAATATTATTTATAAATATGTCAGAAATAAAT